CAGGGCTCCATGCTTTATGCTTTTTACACTTCTTATCAGGAAATGTCCTGTCCATTCCCAGCAAACCTTCCACCCCATTTTCCCTCTTGGCAGGGTCTCCCACGGGAGAGCCTGACGTGTCCATGAGAGGTCCACGTAGGCCACCCTGTATTTGTCCTGCCTTCGGTCAGTACCATTGTGGGCAGGGCCTGAGGCTGGGTGGAGTACATGGCATCTGATTAGAAACAGTCCTTCCCACTCCCCAGGCTCCGGGGTGGTCTCTGCCTGGTTGCCTTTTAGCCCCACAGGGCCCTGTGTTTGCTGCTTCCCATAAGTTTTGCCCCAAAGCCCCCAAACTCGGTGACTTGACCGGGATTGGCTGCGGCACACACAGCCCCCTGGTCCTCCTTCCTGCCTGTGGCCCCTTCCCCACATCCCCACCCACTGCCAAGCCTGCCTTTCCTCACAGGGGAGGGCCAGGAAGCAGAATGCTCACCAGAGGTGCTGTGAGTACTCGGGGGCCACGCTGCCTACTCACCTTGGAGGTGGTCTTACTTTCCTCATTTCCTGGGAGTCTTGCTTTCTGATATTCCCTGGGTGTGTCTGTTTTGGCTTTAGCTGCTGTTGGAAGCTGTTCTTGTCTGCGATCGGCAAAACATGCATCAGCTTGTGCTACACCCATCTGCCTCCCGTCTCGCCAGACACAGCTTTTTGAGTATTAATTTATTACTCACCCACTTTCCAGTATTCTGTCATTTTGTAATAGTGATTTTATTTTATTCTTTATGGTTTCGTTTTAAACTTTTACTACGCAAAAGTCAGACAAACTCAAAAGAGGATCAAAAGAAGACCCCATCATCATCTTTAACTACCAATATCGGTGTTTCACCTGTCTCCATGCCTTTTTTGCTGGAGTATTTTAGAACAAACCACATACTTGTTGTTTTACATATAAATACTTATGTTCTCTTGTTTCTGAGCTACCCTGATAGCTCCATTGGTAAAGAATCCACCTGCAATGCAGGAGACCCCGGTTCAATTCCTGGGTTGGGAAGATCCCCTGAAGAAGGGAAAAGCTACCCACTCCAGTATTCTGGCCTGGAGAATTCCATGGACTGTATAGTCCACAGGGTCACAAAGAGTTGGACACAACTGAGTGACCTTCAACTCACTTCTCTTGTTTAGTATCTAATTTTTAATAACTTTTTATTTTGAAATAGTTTGAGACTTACAGAAAAGTTACCAAAAAACACCTCACTCAGCTTCCCCTGATGTTAACCTCTTACACAGCCACGATGTGATTATCAAAACTAGGAAATGAACACATCTCTGATACTGAACCATGAACTTTACTCAAATTCTGCCAGTTGTCTTATTAATGTCCTTTTTCTGGCCCAGGAGCCCTCATGGCATTTAGCTATCATGTCTCCTTCCTCTCCTCCAATCTGGGACCTCCTCAGTCTTCCCCTCTCTTTTATGATTTTTAACTCTTGCAGGGGTCCTGATCAGGTATTTTGTATAGTATCTTTCAACCTGGGCTTTATGTTTTCTTTGTTAACTAATCTTAATATTAACTAAAATTAACTAAAATTAACAGACCATCTTCAGAGCCAGAACCGGAACTAGAGCCAAGTTTTCCCCATTTAGAAATATAGATTGAAGTTTTGTTATTTCGGGCAGGAAGGCTCCAGAAATGAGGTACCCTCCTCAGCACATTATATTAAGGGGTACACAGTGTCAGTATTGTTATTATTGGTGATGTTAATGGTGATCATTTGGTTCAGACGATGTCTGCCAAGCTTCTCTGCTGCACCATTTCTGTTTTTACTTTTGTGATTAATATGTATCTCATAGGGAGATGCTTAGAGACTGCAGATTTCCTGTTTCTCACCATACTTTCACCCCCTAATTTTAACATCCATCAGTGAATCTTGCCTAAAACAGATGTTGCTATGATGTTTGCCAACTGGTGATGTTTTATTTCCATTATTGTGTCTACATTTATTAATTGGCATTCTACTATAAGATCTGTGTCTTGTCCCCTATTTATTCAATTATCTATTCATATCAATATTGACTCATGGGTATTTTATTCTATGGGTTATATAATCCATTACTATTGCTTTTTAACTTTGTTACTCAAATTGTCCCAGATTCAGCCATTGGGAGCTCCTTCAGTTTGGATCCCGTGTCTTTTGGACATGTTCCCATCATTTTTTTTTTTTGAGAACTTCCTTACATGCTGGCACTATAAGGTATTCTAAGCTCATCCTGTAATTTTCCTTTCCCGGCCCTGGAAGCAGTTTTTTCTCCAAGGAGCCCTGGTTCCTTTTAGTGAAGAATGCTGTCTGGAAATCAAAATCCGAGTGCTGACTGTGCTCATCCCCCTCCCCCACTGGCCAGAGCCAGGAGTCCCACGTGTTTGGAAAGATACATGCGTCCCAGCTGTTCTTCCTGCTGGAGTTGCCACCTGTCATTCAGTCATGACTCTCTCTTCAGCTCCCTGGCCCAGATCTGAGCTGAGGCTCTCAGGATGGTCTCACCAGCCCCCGGTGAGACACCTTGCCTTCCCTGCCTTTGCATTATCTTCTTAAACTCTTGTTGTCCTTGCCTTTACTTCCTCAGTCCTTTTCCTCTCCCCATCCCAAGGATGAGTTAACTGTCTGTCCTCTTGGCCTCTTTCTGACTCCTGGTTTCTCCTTTTACCTCCCAGAGATGTCAGAACTCCAGCTGCATCATGCTTCACTGGGTACGTAGGTTTTCTCTCTCTAGCAGCCTTGGGAGTACAGTCTATCTATCTATCTATGTATATATATATACCACAGTGGTGGTAAGGATAGTGGCAGGACCATGGGACACTGGTCAGAAATTGTCAAGTATCAGCAACTTAACATGGTTCAACCTAATAGCAAAGTAGTTCTTAGCTGGTGAGGCTGGGTGGAGAATTTCTAGATGGGGACACATATATTTTGAAAAGTATTATTTTACTTTATTATTTTGCAATACAATAATGCAACATTATTATTTTGCATATACAGATATAGATATAAAATACTAACTTCAGAAAAAGTAGAAGTTGGACTTCCCTGGCAATCCAAAAGTTACAATTCCACACTTCCACTGCAGAGGGCACAGGTTAGATAGATTCTACATGCTGCATGACATGGCCAAAAAGTAAAAAAAAAATTAAAGAAAGTAGAAGTTGATGAAATCCTGTTGTGTTGGGGAGCAGATATTATAGAAGAGTCTTGTGCGTGAGAGATTCTTGGCAGAAGAGGTTGCTGCGCTTTACGGATCAGTTTGAGGCATGAAAGAGGTTTTCTTTATTATTAGTGGGTACATGGCCTTGAAAAGATTGAGAAACACTGATGCTTCAGCAGATTTCTCGGCTGCAGGTTTTCTCGGCTCTTAGAGGCCCTGCCCCAGAGATGAACAGGGCTGACTGCAGACGCAGTCAGAAGCCAGCTAAGCAGGCGCCGCTCTTCTCACCCAGTGGCTGGTGTCAGGCGTCACCCATGCTGTTTCCATGAGGACTGAACAGTCCCATTCTTCGGCTGTCTCAACAGTCCTGGGCCTCAGAGCAGGTATGATGCTCTTCCCAGTAGCGGGGGGAAAATGGGAGCAAATGCCTGCAGCCCAGCCAGGCTTCCCTGTAGGCAAAGAGTGTGTGGGACAGGAAGTTTAACCCTTCAGAGATGTTGACTCTGTATACAGAACCCTTGTCAGTGGTGAGACTCAGACACAGTTCTCTTACTGGACCAGTGAGGGGCAAGTTTCTACCCATCTTTTCATGGAGACATAAAAACCAGCTGGCATGATTGCCAAATAGGAAATCCCTGTGCGTGTGTCCCAGATGGGGCATAACAGGGGTCCTGGTGTGCAGCCTGGGACCGGCGCTCACAGGCCTCTCATCCCATTTGTGCCCATGGTAAGGTGAAGTCCTTCCCTGGCAGTACCAGGGAGGTTGGGCCCCTAATGGGGGTTTTCCTTGCAGCTTCTCACAACACAGCAGTTAGCTTTCTTTGCAGCAGTGTTTTATAACAAACAGCTCCAGAATTTCATTGACACATGATAAGAAGCATCTGTTCAGCTCAGATGTCTCTGTGTTGCCCGGGCTTGGGTGGGTTTGCCTGGTGGTTCTTATGATCCTCGCTCACTTACCCATCTGGGGGTCAGCCGAGCCACACCCGGCATGGCTGCAACAGCTGTGCTCCCCACATAGCTCTCTCCCCCGGGACCAGCAAGTTCGGCTGATCACATTCTTCTCACAGCAACATACTAGGTATAAAGAGGGCAAAGACAGTCACACAAGCACCTTTCAAGCCCCTGAATATGTTGTCTGTTGACACCTCATTGGCCAAAGCAAGTTATGTGGCCAGGCGCAGGGATCTGTACTTCCCCATGGAGGCAGCAGGGGAGGGAGGTGGGTGAACATTTTAGAACAAGGGTCTAGCCTACCAGGGGGATTCCTGTATCCATCTGCAATGCAGGAGACCCTAGTTCAATTCCTGGGTTTGGAAGATCCCCTGGAGAAGGGATAGGCTACCCACTCCAATCTTCTTGGGCTTCCTTGGTGGCTCAGATGGTAAATAATCCACCTGCAATGCAGGAGACGTGGGTTCCACCCCGGGAGTGGGAAGATCCCCTGGAGGAGGGCATGGCAACCCACTCCAGTATTCTTGCCTGCAGAATCCCCATGGACAGAGGAGCCTGGCAGGCTCTAGTCCATGGGGTCACAAAGAGTCGGACACGACTGAGTGACTGAGCACATTTAGCCTACCAGATCCTCAAGTGTGCAAAACGGTGCAAGCATCCAGTGCCGCAGCGGAGGCCAGCACGGCACCTGGCACCGGGCGGTGCTTGGGGTGACTGGAGACACACCATGCAGACTCCTTTTCCTTTTCCTCTCTCCTCCTGCAGGCCTCTGCCGGTCCTCCGGGAGCCCGCAGGGATGGGTAAAGCCGGCCAGGCTCGAGCTGCTTCCCCGGGGCCGTCTCTCTAGGGCCCCAGGCGGCGCTAGGATGCACCTGTCTGCCGTGCTCAACGCCCTGCTGGTGTCGGTGCTGGCGGCCGTGCTCTGGAAACACGTGCGGCTGCGTGAGCATGCGGCCTCCCTGGAGGAGGAGCTGGCCGTCGGGCGCCGGGCCGCCGACCCCGCCCCCGCGCTGCGGATCGACTACCCGAAGGCGCTGCAGATCCTGACCGAGGGCGGCACGCACATGGTGTGCACCGGCCGCACGCACACCGACCGCCTCTGCCGCTTCAAGTGGCTCTGCTACTCCAGCGAGGCGGAGGAGTTCATCTTCTTCCACGGCAACGCCTCCGTGATGCTTCCCAGCCTGGGCTCGCGGCGCTTCCAGCCGGCCCTGCTCGACCTGTCCACCGTGGAGGACCACAACACCCAGTACTTCAACTTCGTGGAGCTGCCGGCCGCCGCCCTGCGCTTCATGCCCAAGCCCGTGTTTGTGCCCGACGTGGCCCTCATCGCCAACCGCTTCAACCCCGACAACCTGATGCACGTCTTCCACGACGACCTGCTGCCGCTCTTCTACACCCTTCGGCAGTTCCCCGGCCTGGCCCGCGAGGCCCGGCTCTTCTTCATGGAGGGCTGGGGAGAGGGTGCCCACTTCGACCTCTACAAGCTGCTCAGCCCCAAGCAGCCCCTCCTGCGGGCGCAGCTGAAGGCCCTGGGCCGGCTGCTCTGCTTCTCCCATGCCTTTGTGGGCCTCTCCAAGGTCACCACCTGGTACCAGTATGGCTTCGTCCAGCCCCAGGGCCCGAAGGCCAACATCCTGGTCTCCGGCAACGAGATCCGACAGTTCGCGCGGTTCCTGATGGAAAAGCTGAATGTGAGCCAGGCCGGGGGCGCCCTGGCCGAGGAGTACATCCTGGTGTTCAGCCGCACCCAGAACAGACTCATCCTGAATGAGGCAGAGCTGCTGCTGGCCCTGGCCCAGGAGTTCCAGATGAAGACGGTGACGGTGTCCCTGGAAGACCACGCCTTTGCAGACGTGGTGCGGCTGGTCAGTAATGCCTCCATGCTGGTCAGCATGCACGGGGCCCAGCTGGTCACGGCCCTGTTCCTGCCCCGCGGGGCAGCTGTCGTGGAGCTCTTCCCCTATGCTGTCAACCCTGACCACTACACCCCTTATAAGACGCTGGCCACGCTGCCTGGCATGGACCTCCAGTACATAGCCTGGCAGAACACGATGCCAGAGAACACGGTCACGCATCCCGAGCGGCCCTGGGACCAGGGGGGCATCGCCCACCTGGACAGGGCCGAGCAGGCCCGGATCCTGCAAAGCCGGGAGGTCCCCCGGCACCTCTGTTGCCGGAACCCCGAGTGGCTCTTCCGAATCTACCAGGACACCAAGGTGGACATCCCATCGCTCATCCAAACCATACGGCGCGTGGTGAAGGGCCATCCGGGGCCAAGGAAGCAGAAGTGGACGGTCAGCCTGTACCCCGGCAAGGTGCGGGAAGCCCGGTGCCAGGCGTCGGTGCAGGGCGCCTCTGAGGCCCGCCTGTCCGTCTCCTGGCAGATCCCGTGGAACCTCAAGTACCTGAAGGTGAGGGAGGTGAAGTACGAGGTGTGGCTCCAGGAGCAGGGGGAGAACACCTACGTGCCTTACATGCTGGCCTTGCAGAACCACACTTTCACGGAGAACATCAAGCCCTTCACTACCTACCTGGTGTGGATCCGCTGCATCTTCAACAAGACCCTGCTGGGTCCCTTTGCAGATGTGCTGGTATGCAGCACGTAGCGAGCAGCCTGGTCAGGCCTCCTGGGGTGGGGGCTCCTCTGGCTTGGAGACCCTGGGCCTGCCAGCCCCCCTGGGTGGCTTCTGGGAATTATTTATTTATTGAGCAGACCTCTGTCTCTGGGTCATCTCACTGCATCTGAGGTGATGGGGTTCTCAGAGCGCCTCTTTGCGTAAGTGCGATGGGGCCTCCCCACCCTCCTCTCCCATCCTGAACATCCATACCCTAGAGAAGGCCTGAGTGGGGAGGAGAAAGAGGAGAGTAAGGATCCCAAAGAACCTCTTTGGCTGAGTGATCATCCTGTTCCCCATGAGGTCTTTCTGGTTTGTGTCGGGTTTCTGGAAACTGCTGCTAACTCTGTGGCTATTTGGGTGGGTGTGGATGTACATCGGCTTCCATCGTCATGAAGCTCATCTGTAGCCCCACCAAGGGTATGTTTGGAACATTCATTAAATGATTATAAATATCTTGGTCAAGTGTTTTAATGGTCGGCGGGAAGAGGGTCCAACAGCCAGTGCGCAGATGCCCTCTCATCCTGATTGCCAGCCGAGGAGCCGTGGCAGGGGGGCGGCGTCGAGGCCCGGGAAGCCAGGCCTGCTGGCTGCCTGTCATCCTGATGCGGAACGGGTGCCCCACTTCCGTCTGTGGGGGATGAAAGTCTGGAAGCAGGTGAGGAGGAGGCTGTGAGGAGGAGAAGCAGTGTCTGCCCGGGTCTGGTTAGGCTTCACTAGACATCCAGACACAGCAGACCATGGGAGACACACCCGTGTGGGCGTCACTTAGGGGGACGTGGCACAGGTCGGCATGGCTGCACCTCATGACTGCTTCCACAGGAAGAAGTTCCGCACACCGGCTCAGGGGCCGTCCTCTCCCCCAAGTGACTGCTCGGGGCAAGGAGGTGACACCCCCATCGGTAGTTGTGGGGGCTGCTTTGGCTTGGGAGCGCCATAGGAACCGTTATCTTTTTTATATACATATGTTTTCTGGAGGGATCTATTTCTCATATTTTTTTATTTGGCTGCGTTGGGTCTTAGTTGTGTCACGTGAGATCTAGTTCCCCGACCAGAGGTCAACCCAGGCCCCCTGCTTTGGGAGGTGGAGTCTTAGTCACCGAGCCACCTAGGAAGTGCCCGTTATCTTCTCAGCAGCCAACAGGCAAGTTCCCAGGCTCCCTCAAGGAACCTGCCCGGTCACAGGAGCCATCGCACGCAGGGAGGCCTCAGCTGTGGTGTCCTAACAGTTTGTTAGTTCACCTAGGGTCCTTCCAGTCCAGACCAGAGGTTGTTTTTAACCATCGACTGTTTTGCTGAATATCCCTGCTGACATTGAGCCTTTATCTAGCTTTCATGGGAAGAGAGCTGGAAAATTAACTCAAGATCAAATTTGTCCTTAGGAAAGGAGAAAGAGTTTTAGCCTTTTCTTCCCAGGGAGACAGCGGTGCAGACCTGACTCCTGTGAGGACAGAAGGAAAAGGGGCCTTGGGCTGTAGCTTGGTTGTAAGAGTTGTGCCAGGCTCACCAGGAGCCCCTGGCAGGAGGCAAAGCTGTGGGTTAGGTGAGTATGCTGGTGACTGACTGAAGAGTTCTTTGTCTGTAGGGTGAGGATCATAGGCTGGGGTGGTTTGTAAGGCATTCAGGAAATCATCTGTGTAAACCTTTAGCATCACCCTGGATGTCTGATACGTTATTACAGGTTCAGAATCCCATTCCCAAACCCTGGAGAGCAGATGTGATTCCAAATCTGAATTAAAAAAAAAAAACACATTAATTTATTTGGGTCTGTGCTGGGTCTTAGGTGTGGCATGTGGGATCTTTAGTTGTGCCATCTGGCAAGGAAACTCTTAGTTGTGGTATATGGAATCTAGTTCCCGACCAGGGATAGAACCTGGGTCCCCTGCATGGGGAGTGTGGAGTCTATGCCACTGGACCATTAGGGAAGTCTCTCCAAATTCTGAATTCTAGTAACCAAAAACACTGGCATGTCTGCACTGAAATGGATATATATTCACGGTGAGTGGGACATGAGTTTTGGCACCAAAAATGAAAAGGCTTTTGGTTTTCAGAGCTTGGGGGTTGTTGGGATTCTATCTGGAAGGTTGTTGAGTCATCCTCCTCTCCGGCTTGGAAACACCATCATTTTCCTTAGACTAGCCTTGGAGTGGCGTGCTGAGGAATGGAATCAGGTCTGCGGTTCCGTCAGTGATGGTCTCTACAGAGCCCCTCAGCCAGCTTCTTAAGGCTGATTCACCCACAGCTAAGCAGACCCCCACAATCCCCATACTGCAGACCCATCTCAGCTCCTGGCCTGGCAGCCTCTCTTAAGACCGATGGGAACATGCGGATTCACCATCCCCTGCTGGTTCTCATTCCAGAGGTGAAGGCTGCGGAGGCCTGGGGCAAGGAGCCCCAGGAAGCACTGAGGCTGAGAGTGTTTTCTGAAAAGTATAAAAAGTAGATGAAGTTTCAGGCTTTGCAGAAAAGACCCAGTTCACACACCGAGCAGACTTTAACAAGCAAAGAGCAGCAGGCAGGAAGCCAAATGCATGTGACTGTGCTTGGCCAGAGTCAGTTTGCTGCTCACACTCCAGGAACTGGCCCTGTCTCATCATCAGCTCTGAACCCAAAGGAACTAGAGGGAGATGAGCTGTCAGAGTGGCAGGGAGGGCAGTGGAAGTGCCTTTAACTGATGGTCCTGGATTTAAGACTTGATAACACAGTTCCCATCTGGGCTTCAATTCTGGCCCTTCCACTTACCAGCTGGGTGACCTTGGGCAAGTCGCCTAACGTCTCTGTGCCTCATGTGTGGAATGGAGAGTCATCACACTTGTCATTGATGGTGGTGAAGTCAAATGCTTTGATCCATGTAAACGTGATCACAATACCTCGCACGTAGTCATCTCTCAGTAAATGTCCATGGATGTTATGTGTGTGTGTGTGAGTTGCTCATATCCACCTCTTTGCAACCCCATAGACTGTAGCTTGTCAGACTGCTCTCTCCATGGGATTTTCCAGGTGAGAATACTGGAGTGGGTTGCCCATTCCCTTCTCCAAGAGATCTTCCCAACTCAGGGGTGGAATCTGGTCCTCCCACATTGCAGGCAGATTTCTTACCATCTGAGCCACCAGGGAGGCCCTGGTTATCATAGCTGGTACTTACAAGCATTTGTCAGGTGCTAACCATTACGTGGCCAAGCCCAGGTCTGAACCCCAAACTGCTGCTTTCAAGTTCAGTCCTTTGGGGGAAAAAAAAATTGAAAAAATTTAAGGATATATAAGAAAAAAAATAAAGATTTTCAGAGGCAGAAGGTCCAGCACACAAAGAGGACTGTACGCCCAAACTGAAGCTGTTCTCAGCTGAGGGTAGCCGAGGTAGGGCTGGGACTCCACTGAGTTCTGTGGACTTGGGCAGAACTGGGCTTGGAGCCACACACACACACCCCCTACACCCCCCCACACAGCCCCCCTACACCCCTACACCCCCCTACACCCACACACCCCCCCACACCCCCCCACACACCCCCTATACCCCCCCACACACACTCACACCCCCACACACCCCCTACACCCCCCACACACCCACCCCCCCCACACCCACACCCCAAGGTAAAAGAGGCCAGTATTGAAGGGAGGGAGAGCTGGACCCTGACCCGTGCTGGACGTGCGCTGGGCAGGCTGGGAGGGGCCACACAGTACCTGCCATGTGTCCCCCTATCTGTGCTGAATGGACCTGTCCACGTGAGGACTCAAAAGTGCTTGCTGGAAGCTTGGGGCCCTGGTCATGGAGAGAAAGATTCTGGCTTAGTGTCCACAGAAGCTCTTCGTACGCAGACACCAGCCAGCCCACCCACTTACCCGCTGAGCAGATTTCCCCTCTTCTCCGAGGCAGCCACCCAGACCTGTTTTCATATAAGGGAAGGCTGCTCTGGGGACTAGCTTAGTTACCTCTCGCAGAGCACTGGCCAGCTGCCTTCACCTAGATCACCCTCAAACTTTGTTGAGGCCTCATAGGCAAGCAGTGTGAAAATAAGACCACCCAAATGAGATCACCCAAATAGAGGCTGTTTATTTAGAGCCTGCTCTAGGAAGGAACTCGTAGCATCATTTGCTTTCAGCAGAGACTCCTAGGCAGACTGAGGAGTGGGAAAGCTTTCTAGTGGGAAAAAGAGGAGGTTTCAGGGATGCCCTGTTGGAGGCTGTGGGCTGGGGGACTTGGAGGTGGGCTACCTAGAAGAGGGGTATCCCATGTAATTGATTAGGGGAGCGTGTTCGATTTTCTCTAGTTGGTCCAGTTGAAAATGGGGACAAAAAATAGTGAAGCTGGCAGTTATGGTCAAGTCCTGACCATTCTGGGCTGATTGCCACAGGTGTTGTCATTTGAGTTCCTGAGCTGATGGCGGCTGAGGCTGCGGATTAGAGTTCTGTTGTCGTAGATGTCTGGCCATTGTCTGTTTGTATTAATATATTCAGTCTCTCAGTAGTGAGACAGTATTAGTTCTCTTTCTTTCTTTCCTTCCTTCTTTCCTTATTTGGCTGCACCAAATAAAACTTGAGGCATGCAGGATGTTTTAGTTGCAGCTTGTGAACTTAGTTGCAGCATGTGGGACCTAGTTCCTTGACCAGGAATTGAACCCAGGCACCCTGCATTGGGAGTGTAGAGTCTTACCCACTGGACCACCAGGAAGTCCCTTTAGCTCTCTTTCTTGAAAAGGGCAGGTTGAGTCACAAAGGCAGAATGAGTCTTATCCCCACATGGGAGCCCTTACTCTGCCCTGGCAATGAAATGTTCTCCGTATTCCTCTGTCCATAACATTTTCTAGAGGGACAGTTGTCTCAGTCTGCTCTCTGACTGAGTGTGGGTCCATCAGGCAGGAGGGAGTGAAGGGACACTTCAGGCAGAAGGCAGAACAGGGGCTGTTACAGTGGGAAATGGTTGAGTCCAGGAAGGGCGCCATCATTTGATAGGGCATCTAAAGAGCCTCTTGATGAAAGGGAAAGAGGAGAGT